CCATTCAATCTCGAGATTGATAGAAGAGGATATAACCAGATTCAGAGTTCTTTGAGATGTCTGATGTCAACCCATAGAATTCTTCAATAGCTTGTGCATCAATTTTCTATATATAAACAAAACACAGATACCGTAATTTTTTTAAAAGGAAGAAAAGCTACAACAAACTCTTTATATTCTATTAAGGCACATTTGGGAAAGCAGTGGGAAAAAAACTGACTATTTGGTTTTATCTGCTAAACTCTTTCTGTATGTTACTTAGATACAAGCAATAACATCCAAAAGTTTGTGAGGTTTCTCTATTCCCAGATCTTTCCTCCACAGCAACCTCCTTCCTGTCCAGTTTAGGCTTCTATTTGTTTAATAGTAAGAAATGGAATGTGAATGTAAAGTCTTTCTGAACACTGCCTGGCAGGTGACTCATGCAGAAAGCCAATCTTTAAAATGTAACACCAAGGCTAAGTGCAGGCATCCAGGGAGGCTAGGGAGAAGTTAGATTACTTTAAAAACTGCCGCCCGATCTCAGGTCAGTCAGCATGGGGGCAGGGCTAGGGGTAGTTGGGAGGATGGGAAGGGAAACAGCCTCGGTGGGGGGAATCAGGGATCCATGAGAGATTGAAAGGGGAGCAAGAGGGATCTGTAGGGGGACTGAAGGCACAGGTGGGATCCACAGGAGTGATTGGGGGCAGGCAGTGTCTGTGGGGAGACTGGGGGGGCAGGCACAATCTGCAGGAGTGATTAGAGGGGTAAGAGTGATCAGCAGTGGGAGCAGCACAATCCGTTGGAAGATGTGACCGGCAGGCATTATTTGCGGGAGTGATAAGGGGTGGGGGGGCAGGCAACATCTGTGGAGGGTTGGGGGGGCAGGTGTAATCCATGGGAGCGATCATCAGGGTGGGCATGATCCACAGGAGGGTGGGGGCGGTGCAGGCAGAGTCTGGAGGAGCTGGGGGACAGGTGAGATCTGCCAGGATGACCAGGGAGGGAGGTGCAATATGCAGGGGATGTGGGGGGAGCTAGCTGGTCTGTGAGGGGAAAGTGGTGAGAGTTTAAGGGGGGCTCTAAAAATAGCCCAGTGCCATTGGGAGGCAGGTAAGAAACATGCAACCTTGAGACTGGGGCGAACGGCTGGGCTTTCCTAGTCCCTGGGGTGCGCATACAACTGTACTGAAGTTCAATGCACCAGTAACCTACATAGATTAAGTCTGTGTATATATCAATCCAGATCTAGCCTAGACTGGGTTCTGCCATTTTTAGACTGGTCTATGTGTGCAGAGCTTCTGTACAGTTGTGGGTTTAGATTGACTTCTGATCACTGAGACTGGGTCTATGTCTAAGGTCTCAGTCTGGGTGAACTAAGACTGGGTGGCTATTTTTAATGCAATCTAACCTCCTCTTAAGCCCTGGTGAATGGCTGCACTTAGCCCAAGATTTTCTTTTCTTTAGATACCTCAAACAGAACATGAATTTAGCATGTGAATTTTATCAGCAATAACCAGAGTGCATGGAAGTGAACCACGTTCCCAGCAGAACAAGGAATGAGGACAAAGTTGAACATGACCTGTTCATTAGTTAACAGGATCAGACTCCTAAGTATTGTATGAAGAGCCTGAAGATTACAGAGAGTCTTGGAAGAGCCTCCTGGTGATACAGGGCAGGATGTGAAACAGCTTTTATTGGTAAACAACTGCCAGGTATTACTGTCTTTATGATTCTTTGCAAACATAGGATAAAACATAAGCAAAGTAAAAGCAACAGGGCAAGAGTGCTCTGAATTTAGAACAAGTTACAGATACATTTTATAGAACAGAAATGTGAAAATAAATATCCTTTCCCACAGATAGGTAGTTTAAAATCTACTCTTGGTCTCTGATGCAATAATGACTAACTGGACTATTTCCATTTTGACACATCCATAGGCTTCAAAAGCGTTATGCTACTTCAGGTCTAATATCAAACTCCTTGCTACTGGTTTGGCACTGTAAACTGCAGAAGAAACTCCTAAAAACACTTTTGTTCTGGCACTAGTGAGAAGACCCCCGATGTTTAAGAAAGGCCACAAAACAAGTCCACATCATCACCCTTTTTCAGGGGCAAAGCGAACAACAAACTATATGGTGGTGTCTCAAAATTCACTGAGTATTTTGAGATGGTACAGAGACCACTCATCTACATTCCTGACCTCCTACATAATTGGGAATCATCTTGTGCATCCAAATTCCCTGAAGTGATTTGAACATCCTGAGGAAGACATCAGTATCCTGACTGGTCGTAGAAACTGAAGGGGAAGACCAACCCCTGTACAGTGCTTTTAAGCGAGAAAGTGTACTTCTCACAGGCCTTATAAGTGCTCTGTGAACTATATGAACTCAGAAAAAGGATTTAGGCATAACTGTGGACTGAGCTCAAGAAAGACTTCTGTTCAGCATGAATACCAATTTGACATTGACTCCAGAAAGACATGCAAGCCTGTGGCAGAACACTTTAACCACCCTGGACTTTCCATCACTGATCTCAAAGTAGTTGCTCTTAGTAAAAATTTAAAAACCAACTTCAACAGGAAATTATGGAACAAGAAATAATCCACTTCTTTTATTGTGTTAACTATGGTCTAAACCAAGACTGGATTTTTATTCTGGATTATTTTGTATAACCCCTATGTCTCTTAATGGGTTAACTGCTTGTTTTTCTCTCTCCTACCCATCTTGCCTGTCCCAGCAATGTCCCCTCCTTTTTTCTTCCTCTTCCTTTGTAATTACCCTTTGTAATCTAATCACTAATTTCTGTTTTAGAAACTCTGCATCCTGAAGTCCCTTTATCTGATGAAGTAAACTGTTGCTTAAGAAAGGTCATGCATCTCTGATTTACTTAAGACTGTAAGGTTCAAATCTATCCTTCCTTCTGCCCCATTTCAGATTAACACCGCTAGCTACCTCTCTCTCTGTTCAATATGCAATTGCGGTGAAATGAAAATGATGAAGCAAGATGACAAGAATATAAAACACTGGAAGTTATTACATGGTATTATATAATCTTGTTTACCTATCATCTGAATACTATACGTAGTACTAGTTTACTCAATCTTAACAAGAATATTGTATAATCAGGAAGAGTTTTGGAAATGAGATGAGAATGATTAGGAACATAGGAAACCTGCCATAAAGGAGAAAGACTGAAAAGACTGGACTTGTTTACTATAGAAGCAGACAAGTAAGATGGGACAAAGAACAGTATGTTGAAGCTGGATCAAGAACTTCTATTGGCTATGTCTCATAACACAAGAATAAAGAGATATCCAATATAAAACTGAAAAGTAGGAAAATAAACAACAACAAAAGGAAATACGTTTTCTGTACAACATCTAATTAGACTGAAGCATATGAGGCCAGATGTCCTCGAGGTCAAGAACTTAGCAGGATTCAAAGTGCTTGTGTGAACAGTATCTGGAATGTTAGTTAAATCTTAACAAGATTATTAGAAAGGGGAAAAAAATCCCACCTTTGAGGAATTAAACCAACCTTCAACGACTACAGTTTAGGATATAACCTTCTTGAGGGGCAGATTATAACACATTTGCCTACTGTGGCATTCCCCATCCCTTTCGCTGAAGCTACTGGTCTTGGCAACTGTCAGTGACAAGATATTTGATTAGATAGGAATCCACAGTGTGTCAGCTTTGCCTATAGTTGCACCCGCTTAAGATAATGCTAAACATGAGTGACAATAAACCTTTTTATATACACTTCAGTCTTTCATGTCCTATGGCCACAGGAGCCTCCTTTGAGATTGTTAGTAAACAGAAGGCAAAGCTAAGACAACCATATCCCAAAGAGACATTAAACAAGAGACATAAAAACAAATGAAAATGTAACATTTTATCTGCCTGGAACATCCTGATACTGTAGAAGAAAGAGCTTGATAACAAGTGTTCAGTATTTAGATCAGAAGAGAATGGTAGACTCTGCTGATGACATACTCCTGCTTTCCAAGTCCTGGATGCATCTGAAGTTTGCTCCAGTTTTCTTTTTGCTCACCACTGGAAGGACTTGCCTTTTCATAACCTGCTGTTTAAATGTCTTTCTAAGATAGGCAGCTTGTCAGTGCATCACTTTGGAGAACACAAGCTGAGTTTAGCTTTTTCCGTAGCTTATTTGCAAGGCCTTGAGTAATGCGACAGTAAGCACAGGCCCAAAGGTTTCACAAGCTGTTTTCACATGGGCTTGGGAAAGGAGAAGTCTGAATCCTTTAAAGAACCCTTGGTAACTCAAGATTAGAATTAGGGAAGACAAAGTGAATTCCTCCTTAGAAAAAGCCTTGGACAAGTAAGGTCATATTACTCCTTGACCTGGTATTGATGGTGTTGGAAGAAAAAGAAATGATAGAAGGATTAGCTATCCTATTTTCCCCTCTTTAAAAGTTGAATTAAACAGACACTGCAGATGCATTCACTTTGCATGTGGAGTAGCCACAACCTCAGAGAGGTGATTTAGTTTTGGCGGGTCTTCTCTCCCACTCTCTAGAAAAACTAAAGTTTACAGGTGACAGGAGCACAAAAAGGCATCATGTTCAATTCAGATTAAAAAAAAACTCAGGTTCTTTTTTGCATACATCTCATCTACCTTAGAGATTGAGAAATGCTGGGGAGAAGGCAGTTTGCCACAGAGATAGGTACAGTAATCCATGTTTATGAGTCTTTGGATCACACTTACCTGTATCTAGTCTACGACTGCCTGTAACTTTCTGAGTTTTTTGCTTTCTTTTTACCAAGAAAATCATGATTCTTATGGAAGGTAATCCAGAAATATATGCATCATGAAGAAACAGCATTACCTCCTCTGTGATACAAAATATTTTATCTACTGCCACATTTCCCTTCTCTTCTTGATCTAAAGTTCAATTCCCTGAATGTGGTAGCATTTAGAATTGTATTTGCATTACCAATTCACTATTATTTTTAATTCTTAAGCAATCACACACACAGAAAGAGAGAGACACAAGAATTACTCAATACTTACCTCTACAATGTCATCATCAAAGAGAAGCCAAAAATCATGACTCTTCACTATTGCAATATAATGTCCCCTGTTAGGACCACTGTGAAGGGAAAAAATGTATGCATAATATTAATAGTTCCTTCATTAAATTTCTGCTTTTTCACAAAAAAAATGTAGCAATTATATTCCTCAATTCTATTTACTTATTCCTGCCCCCCTCTTTGTTGTTACTAAGATCATTTACATGGAAACAAGATCTTGGACATCACTACACCAAATATTGTACTAAACAAAGGATTATGACTTCAAGTGAGAAATGAATGGTACACATAGAAATATAAATGTGAGTCTGTTTCCAGGTTAACATCATCAGAAATATAACTAGGGACAAGAAATAAAGAAAATACTTTTTATTTTGAAAGTGGCAGAATAATTTTCTTTCAAAACCAACTCTCCAAAAACAAATCTGATTCTAGTCTGAGGCTGGTACTTAGAAATTTAATTTCCAGCAATATGGTAGTCACTGCCTTTATGTTCAAGGCAATTTACATCTGGGAACAAAAGGACACTAGTTCACTGGACACTAAAAAGCTGGGATTTACCACAGAAAGGCTACTTACAGACATTAAACACACAAAAAACCCTCACTTCGTTGGAAGCAGCAGCACATTAGTTTGACCTGGCTCCGCAGAGTCTGTATAGATCAGGCACTTCATTTGGGCTTTTTGGTGTTTTTATCTAATAGCTGATTGAATCAGCTATTAGATAAAAACACCAAAAAAGGCCCACTAAAGCACCCAATTTATACTATAGCGTGGAGCTGGGTTTAACTAATGCACTGCCTGTTTTGGGCATGTGCTGGGCTGGGTAAGGAAGCATGCTGAGTTTAAAGCACCATTTTATTGTATTTTATTAACATCTGCAAGCAGCCATATTGACTACATTATAATCTACCAGATCCCCACTAATCTGTTTGCATTTCAAAGGTGATAATGACCTTCTTGAATGGTTTTGCTCTTCTGGTTATCATGTTATCCTTTCTACTGCATTTCTTCTGTCTGTTAACTATCTGCTACTATTTCTTATATCCTGTTTTTATTTACATTGTGTTGTGTACAGACCTTTGTTCTATCTGTTATATAGCTCATGCTGTGTCTGCTTTTTCTCAGAGACCTGAAAAAGGATACTTCATAACTGAAAGCTGGTTTATATCCCTCTCAACTATCACCCACCCACAAAAATTAATCCTCGAGAATATAATTGTGAATATTTTTTCTAAATACATAAAGATGGTGAGATTTAGAACAGAAGTTCCACCAGTGATTTGCTGATCTGTCTAAAGAGAATGCTCTCCAAAACATTATCTACATTAGCAGTGGCTTTGGACCATCCCAGATGAGTGAGGTCTCACTTCAGAATCCATAACCTGAAAAGCCCCACCACAGTCAGACTCATAATGAGACACAACCTTAAGCATAAAAGTTTGTGTATGTGTTCTCAAGAAAATGTACTGCTCTGAAAACACCTGAATTCAATTTGATTATTTTTCCACACAAAAAATATGAGAACTTTTCATAGCAACAAGTTGCCTATGCAAAAAAGAGAAGCCACCTAAAATAGTTCACAGTGCTCTCCCATTTGTCTTCTAGAAGTCATCTGTAAATCACAGTAACCCATGACAGGAAAGCTCTGGGGCAGAGGACATTTAGAGGACTCTGCTGATTGTCCAACCAGGACAATAGTATTTTTTTTCTATCAGCAAAACAGCACAACCTAAGAACCAGATGGAACCTAGCAGGTGCCATTAAGTGCTTGAGTTGACTATTAAAATGGGTCTAGTATTGCCTTGGCTGAATAATGGCATCCCAGCCTGCAACCACAAGGTCTTACTATGTCAGGTTCATAAAATCATTGTGTTTTTCTTGGGGCCTCTCTGCTTGAAAAATAAAACAAATACCTCTCTCTTTATTTTAAGGATTGAATAAACTTAATAAATATTCATCAATTCACATTAAAAATGACACTCCTAGGTCAGACACAAAGTGGGGGGTGACAAACCAGTCTATTTAGAAACAACTTAGTAAAACATTTCAAGGGAAATGTGGTTACTCTCAGAGTCAAAAAGAGATACTAAGGAACTGTTTACGTTCTGCCACTCTTTTTTGTGCCACATACAATCGTATGGAAGCAGGTTTAGAAAGGACCTCATAAAGTCATCTAATTCGGCCCTCTACTCAAGACCAGATCATCCCAGCCAAGTGTGTGTCCAAATCTGCTCTTGACAATTTCCAGGGATGGAAATTCCAAAACTTCTCTAGGTAGCCTGTTCCAATGCTTGGCCACCCTCATACTCACCCACATACTTTTAGAAATTTCACAGACCATTAACATTTAGTGATACTAGATTTGTTAACAAGGTTGAAAGTTTCATGCAAGAATACTGGTGTCACAAACATGACTGTTACCTTCCACAGTGAACAACCACAGCAACCAGGTCATACATTCTATCAGGATTGGTGGCATCTCCTGAGGTGTTAAATAGTCGAAGCTCTAATGGAAACACTACCCTATAAGAGAGTTTTGTATATCGATGTAGTTGATCCATATATTTAAATCTTTTCAGATGGAGAGCTAGAATCATAGGCAGTTTTTTTACTTTCATCCTGAAACAAAACAAAACACATTAACTTAAGATTTCCAACCTGTCAAACTTTTAAATTAATGCTGACATGGAAAGCCAGACTTCTGAAAATTGTTAACATATGTTCAAGCATTAAAGTCAGCTTCCCAAATGTTTACATGACAGGTAGCTTGATATTTATCATGTCTGATAAATGCTGCAATGCTTAAGCAATAAAACAAACTACTGTAAATTAGTTTTAGTAGAATTTAACTCTTAAAGTAAGAACTGCAAATGTGGGTTTGAAAGTAAGCTAGATGAAAGGTTGTGGAATCAATGCCTTCAGTTACATATGCTGCAAGAGATGTGCAGCAGAGAAGTCAATCTTAAAACGTATCTCCCCATATTTTTCCTAGTTGGGATCCTAAATGCAATATTCAACTCTCGCTCTTTAGTGATACCTCTAAACACACCAAGTTGTTTTAGAGCTAACAAGGAATCCAACTGGAACAGTGACTTGTCCTCCAGATAGATGGAGTCAACATGCCAATTTTCAAGTAAATGGCATTGTTTTACAAGCTATAGTAATCTAATTTTATACTTCCTAGGGACAAAAATGTCAACATATCTGTGTTTATCTGACCTCACCCCTTCCAAACAGGTTAACACTATGCTCTGGCAGAGTTAATCAGGAGGGAGTTACAAAAGCCATAAATAGAAAATGTGAATCTAGATTCATTAAGTGCACAGTGCTCCTTTACCTTGTTTGAGACATTCAGAACATGAACATACACAATCTAAAGTTCCTGTCAATCCTGTCTTCTACAATCTAAAGTGACTACAAAACTCCATCAGCTATCTACAATTACTCTCTTGGTGAACAGAGACTTCTGTTTACTATATGACGCAAAAAATTAAGTGGGCAAATTATCCTTTCCCTTCATCCAAACATCCATTTGTTACACCTTGCCATAACCTTGGTTGTAAAGTTGGTTCAGCAATCATCTTTTTACTACTTGTTGGTAAAGTGCCTAACATAATGGAGCTCCTAGGCTAGGGACAGAAGTAACACAAACTGGTTTAAACCTGTGACAGTACTGAAGTTCAGTGCACATAAACCAGTTTCAAAATGACTAAAAGCTGGTTTACAATAAACCTGGTTGAATGTAGTATCAGACTTAACTGATTTGGGTCAAACCAGTTTATGAAACTTCTGTCCCAGGCCCCTTCCTTGTTCAAGTTAAATCACAGTCCCCCAGCATCCCAGCATGCTTTCCAGCCCTTGGCTGGGCTATGCTGCCTGCTCCAACAGAGAAGGGTTGTGGAGAAGGGGGCAGGAACTGCCCACCCCCCACACAAACCCTGGCTGGGGTCTGGGGCCAGGGAAGAGGGTTAAATCCTCCACCCCCTGGTTAAGCCCCACCTTCTACAAGTACAGAGCTGCCCTGCTGCTAAACTTATGGAAAGTGACTGCTGGTTGCGACTGTGGACTACGAATCCCAGAGGCACCTGGAAGCAGGAAGAGGAAGTGATGAACAACCCCGCAGAGACCGGCTGCTGTGATTCTGGACTGCTAATCCCAGAGACCTTAGGGGCAGCAGAAAGAGGAAATGCCAGAGAGCTATGCTCTAGCAACCTGACTTCTGAACTGACCTACTGCAGGCATGTGGCTGCATTTCCTGAATCAAAATGTAAATGTCTGTGCAGTTGTTCCTCAGTTTAATTTTTGAAGCTTAGACTAACCTGCAAAGATTGAATCGATTCAGCCTCAGGCTTTTGACAGTCTGTACTTAGCCCTAAATGTCACTGTAACTACAAATTGGATGGACAAAACATACCCTGCACTACATCTTTGGAAGAAAGATGCTTTGTTCTCCGTAATATTATTCTACACAGGCATAAATACAGGGTAGCACATACAGATCGCTACACAAGATCTTGACTAAAGTTTTTTTCAAAGACATTGTTGTCCTAAGCATTCTATTCCTATACTTTCATAAGAAATTAGAATAGTTCTGTGGAATGAAGGCCAAATAAATTATCCTCATTAGCAATCTTCCGGCTAGTGAATTGGTCAGAGGACTTACACAAACAGACAGACAAGATATCTACAAATCTACCTGATTTATCATAGCTTTTTCTTATTATAATAATCTCTTCACACAGAGATTTAACTCAAAATACATCTTTTGAAACATAACAGTGTTGACCATCTGATATGCCCGCTTTTCTTGACACCTGCCTTTTTAGCAGAGTTTCTCATTTATAATAGGTAGCTGTATAACTGAACCCAGATAAAAGGGGATGACACCAATTGGTCATGAGGAACAACTGGAAGATAAGGCAAGGTTCTTACTGATCCACTTAAATGAATACTTGTACCTCCTATTTAAGCTAGGGTTGCAAATGTAGTTGGGTATCCAGCTGCTATCAGAAACATCAGAGCAGGTCAGTTCCATTAAGAACAAAGGGGATTACAGTTTTCTTTAAGATGCGGGTTGTTCAACAGTCATTCATGTCTAACACATGTGGAATTTGGTAATCTCTCAGTTTAAATATATTTCAGCTTGAAAGAACATTAAAACAGTGCTTTATTATCGGGACTTTCATGTGAGATCCTACCATATTTGTAGTCAGTAGATGAACCTGAGCTATACGCCTGAGGACATATTTGTCATAGAGAAAAGTTGCAGGGGGAGATGAGTTGTTAATAAACTCAGGCTGTCACAGACCTTTAGGGCATGCTGCAAAACTTACTTTCTCCCAGCTTGTACAGGATTAGGTAATGGGCTGAACTAGGGAAACACAGAAAGATGACTCAGGTTATGATTTTCCTGAAAGGGACTTGCTGCATTTTTGTTATATTGCTGTTCAGATTTGGGCATAATTGCTGGAGTCTATTTTAAAACTGCATAATAAGAGACTATAAAAAGGTACTCTGGGGCTCAGAATATGTACTCTTATCAAATGCAACTAGCCTAAACATTATGGCTGAACCCAGTCTCACAAATGTATTGCTTCTAGGATAACTAAAAATGTATGGAAGGTTTGGAAAAGCAAATTCATGCCATAATTTTATTTATTATGTATCAGTGGCTTCATCTTTATGCTCCCAATCCCAAAAGAAGCTACTTCAAAAATGCCTGTCATTAAAATGACATTCTTTTCCTTTTTGTTCTTCATTTAAGTTAATTACAAACATTTAGCTTCTGTGACGAGTACAATATCATTAGATGAGACTAAATACCTTTTTTTTTTTTTTTTTTTTTTTTTTTTTAAGATAGTCACCTCAAAAGTCTCAAAGGATATGCCTGATACTAGGAGCTCTTTGTTAACACAACCTCATTATGTTCTACCAACAAAGTATTTCTTGCTCTGTGGACATAAAAATTCCAGCAAGGCAGTGCTTATATATTTCTACTAACCCTCCCTTCCTCTCCAGAAAATTAAAATATAACACCTAAAAGCATAATCTGGCTAGTACAACTGCATCTACAACAGCTGGTGCTGCTCCTGATGGTCAGGGGCATAGAGGTATAATTCCTGATCAATACATGTATACTAGCAGGAGTCACACTCATCAATAACTATTAGCAAACTTCAGCTATGAGGCCATATGACAGCTACATGTAGGAACTATGATAAAGCCATAAACATCAACAAGAATCATCTCCACAACTATGCTCTAAGCCCCAGACAATACTTCTGATGAGAAAGATGAGCAGATAAGAAATTAATCCAAAACCTGTTCTTAACAAGTAGAAGTATGAGAATGAAAATACTTTTTTTGATAGAGAGTAACACTGCACTTACTCAAATTCAAGAACCCTCCCCCACAATAATAGATACTATATGTGGAAAATTATCAATTTATTGTAATTTTATTATTTTCCACATATATAATCCAATTATTAGAGGGTTGTCTTAAATACTTCCCTGCCTTTGCTGTGGCCAGCCCACTACCCCTTCACCTCTTGCCCTCCCTGCCTGCCTGCCCCCCCATGCCTGTGGCTAGCCAGAAGCAATGGCAGCAGTTCTGGTCCTGGGTGGGTTGGGGCTGTAGCCAGAACTGAAAGCAAGAGGTTAAAGCAGGGGTGGGCAAAATATAGACCATGAGCCAGATCCAGCCTGCAGAAGGGCTTTCTCCAGCCCACAGTGGGTCCCTAGGTCCCACCTGGCTGAGGTGCTGCCCAGTCCCGGCGCATCCTGCCACCCCCTGGGCATGCAGTGGGGCTGGGGTGGCTCTGTGGCTGGACTGCCTTTCTAGACAGCCTGGGCTGGCCCTAGCCCCTCAGTAGCAGCAGGGACCAGCATGCGTGCAGCCCCGACCCCACGCAACCTGCGCCTGCTCTGGGCTTGCCCACCCAGGCTCAGCAGCAACAGTGTGGAAGAGAAACTGTTACTCAATGTGGGGTAAAAGCAGCCTCTCCTCCTCCAGTCACTTCTTGGTACAGCTGCCCAGAGCCTGTGCAGGGCTGCCCTGCATCTATGCCATGTCAACGCTGCCTCTGGACTGCCCGGTGGGGCAGTAGCAGCAGTGCAGAGCAGACACAGGGCAGCCCTGCATAGGCTCCTACACCAGGAAGCACAGTGAGTGGGAGGGAGGAGCGGCCACTTTTACCCCACGCTGAACAGCAGTTTCTCATCCACACCACCGATGCAGAGCCTGGGCCCCAATGCTTGCTTTGGGCTGTTGTGGGATAGGGATGGGTACTGACCAGCTCAGGGGGATGCACTGGGGGGGTCCATGGGGAGGGGGAGCTCCCATGCACAGCCCACCATATCCCAAAACCCCACAATCACACCTTTCCCCACACATAATCACACAATCCACAAACACCACACCCACCCACACCCTCCCTGACACCCCTCACACACACAAAGAAACCCCCGTATGCCTTTGGGGGGAACCCCTCTCACTGCTGCATGCACACACACCCAGGCACCCTCCCCCTCCACACATCCCACAGCCCCCCAGA